CTCTTTTTACATTTTTACTCCATTTGTTATTTTAAGATGGTTGTTGTTAGCATAGGCACTTTGGTCAGCTGTTGCTGTGTTATAAAAACTAATTTTATATTGAAAGAATATTTAGAAAACTTATTTAGCTCAAATTATTTCCTATAGTGAATAAATATATTGCTGTTTTGAATAATTTTTCTTAATCCGTAAAGCTTTTCCATAAGTCACCATGATAGGAAGAGGAAAGTAATAGAGAAAAGAATCCAAAAATCAAAGTTTAAATCTGGTGCAACATAAAAAGGCTGCAGCAAAATTAAACGTCTCTGTGATTGTCATTTTCAACATATTTTATTTTTTCATGCTTGCCACTTAAAAGCATATAAAACATATTGAATATTACTTTAAATCTAGAACATTATGTTGAAAAACATTTGAAAATATTGCAAATTTTAATGCTTTGGCCTTTTGGTTCAGGAACATCGTTTTCTTGAATATGTATGAGCTTAATGCTGCTTTTCTTCCTGCAGCTTTAGAAATGAAGCAGATAAAGTGAAACAAAGCATGATGGGTAGCAGAGGTAGAGCTGCTTCCACTGTCTTGAAATTCTGCTCTTTGGGGAGATTATGGTTTCTCAGTAAACCACTTTCAATAGATACTGTTCATATAGGTTCAACTGGGATTACTGGATCTGTTTTGACATGAATAACTTCTGTTTGTGTCATCAGAAGCTAAATACCTGATTGTTGTAAAGGAAAACTAAAGTTCAAACCATTTTTAATATTTTCTTGTAATGTGCCGTATATGCTGAATTATAACAGTAAATATTGTAATGAAACGTATGATTTTCAGAGGACTTTTAGAGCCAGAAGCTTCTGATCTCAATACCGGAACTGCACCATAACCTAATTAAACAAACAGGGTTTAATTTAACCAGTTCAGCTAAACCAAACACTGAAGATCCTTTTAAAGTTTGAAGCAAAAACAATCCTGAGGAGTGCTCAGCAGCCCCTGCTGGCCTGGGGCCACCAACATAGACAACTTTTAGAACACACGTTGGTAAATCTTTTTTATATTCACCCAAACTATTCTGTAATTTAGAATTTGTCTGTGTTTTATTTGGGTTTCTTCTCCGTTAATCTAATTTTCATATGGTTCATAAAAAATGGCAGAAAAATAAAACATGGCCTTAATAGAAAGATAAGATAAAATCTTATTTGAACTGGTATTTATCAAATATCTAATGTTGATTGAATAGTCACATTTACTTAAAAACAAAATAAAGGATTAAACTCTGAGGGCTGAAGCTAAATGTCAGACCTGTCCTACGGTTGTTAACATTTTTTAAAAGACAGAGTAGTGAGTGGTTTGGAGAGATTGATGTGCTCAGCATTCAGTAAATACTAATAAAAGATGAGCATATCTTTTCAGAGCTAGACGTTGTAATCAGCCGACAATGTTGGTTCCTCATGTTTGGTGTCAAACAGTTCCAGACAGTAATCAGTCTCAGTTTTAGCTTCACCAGGATTCTTTCTGTTGAGCCACCTCTCAGAGATTTAAATATAAAAGTTGGTAAATAGGAAAGAGAAAAACGGACTGCGCTGCTCAGACACTGTCCCTTTTTTTCTGTTTCTCAGTGCATTGACTGGTTGCACACCTTATAGGGGGCTTGATCTCTAAACAGGAAACCCAAGTTACCATTGTGATGGACTTTGTATGTAGAGCTGTGAACCATCTCTGTGATGCTAAACATTCCAACCTGAAGTCACCTCAATAAGAAACACATTTTTCTTCATAACACAGCTTCCAGATCAGATGAAGTTAATGCTTAAAGTAATCACTTTGGTTTTACTTTTTTTTTTTAACAATTCCTGTGAATAAGAATAAAAATTCTGCAAAAAAAATGTATTCAGCAATATACCTGTTGAATAAAGCAAAATATTATAATATTTATATTTATTATAATATTTGTTTTGTTATCTTGCTGTGACTGTACAAAGGACTGCAAATAGGATGAAAATGAACTAGAAGAAATACACTACTGCTCAAGAATGCAGAATAAACATAGCTTAGAAGACAAATATAAAACTGTGAAGTTCATCTTTACTCGTTTGTTGTGTCGTTTCTTTAACCAATACTTTCCCCTAGGGTCTTTCCATTTCTCTTTGCTTCATCTCTCTACTGCAGGGTCAAAGTTCAGCTGGGAGATAAGGGAATTGAAAGGAAATCCTCTCTTACCCTGTCAGACTATCTGACTATACAGTGCACCGATCAGACCCCTCTATCTCTCCCCCGGCAGAGGTCTCTGAAATGAGCTTGAACAGAAATCATCTCTCTTGGTGCCTGCGGTATGTGTGTGTGTGTGTGTGCAGCTGTCCAGTGTCCGAATCATAAGAACTTCTGCTGCCCAGCAGTAACAACAGCATTCCCAGCGGGGAGACACACACTGCTATTTTCTGCTGTTCTGTAACCTGCTGCCTCCAGTTCTGCTAACACCTTGCTCTTGATTCTGCTGCTCGAGTCTGACTGAAAGGAAGTATTCATGGCTGCAGGAAGGCGAGGTTGGTATTTGGGGAACAAATACCACTTTGGACCTATGAATTCTATTTATGTGCAGAACAACAAACACCTGTAAAGATGACTCCTCTTTAGTCATCCTAGCATGTCTGCCAATTATAATGCTTCCTAGTGGAGACTGTACCCTGGAAACCATGAATAAGGACAGGCTTCTGAGAAGAAAAGTATGAGATGCACACCGCTGCTTCAGCTAGGGAACTTTCTGAATTTATTTTTCCTTTTTTTAAATGTCCAATTGTGTTGCATCAAGTATACAGTAAATAACAAATTGTTGTCCACATAAGTCAGGGCAGGTTTGCTTTTTAAAAAGAATACATCAAGACAGTATCCTAACTGCATTATCTTCATTGGATCCAAATCCCATCATGCATCAAAGAAGGCAAAACCTATAGTGCCCTGCTGGTGCATAGATGTGGATGAGTTTATGTTTAGAAACAATGATCTCTGTGTTGAACTGGTGTATGTGAGCATGTGAGTTTGACACATGTAGGGTACCAAGTACACCATCCCTGCAACCCTGCCAACCCCAGTAATGAAGACCTGGTCAAGGAACCTAATCTGGCAGTTGCCACATTTATATGTGTAGAACTGAGTTGATAAGTACACAATACGATTCGTCTGCAGCTTCTTAAGCATTTTCACAACTAGCGGAGTAAGCTGATGAATCAAAGTTTTTTCAAATCCTGTCAGAGGAAAAGCACAGACATCTGTCCCATCTACTAATGCACCAAGTGCTTCTCTTTGCTCCTTTTTTTACACGAGCAGTTTTCGCTATTTTAGCTAAAACCTAGTCAACCTAGCCATATTTTTAATGCCCCGTAAAGGCACTTCTTACTGTCGTCCTTCCTACGTGTCCCACCCCAAAAAACACTGCTAGCATGTCATTGGTCCAACTCGATAATTGTTACGAGACAGACGTACTAGCGGGAGTCTGTCAAGCCCACTTGGGTGGCTCGAGGTAAGCACCAACTGATGGCAGCAAGACGCTGGGGAGACACCTAGACACCCCGAACTCAATGTGGGGACCTCTGGGGAGCTGGTTCTCGCCAATCCCTGAGAGGTCAAGAGGGAGTGATGCCAACCAGTACCCATATCTGACATCCCCCCTAACATGTCCCTAAAAAGGGGATCCACCACTCTGGGTAAGGGCCGGCTACCCATAAAGAAAATGTCCTCCCAAAGATTTGGACCCTGCTGGCACATACACAGTGGTGACAAACTTTCTGCATTTTTACCTTAAAGTTCTTAATATCTCTGCTTGACTTCTGTATAGCATCATCTCATACTCAAACCATGGCTAATGATATAACAGGCACAGAGTACTTATATAGCCGCTGAGTTCGCATCATCAGATCCACTGAATCATTTCATTCAGTGAATCATCACTTTGTCATAGAGCAGTTTAAGGAAACGATTCAGAAAATGTGTTCAAAGTATAGTTTTTCAATATGCACAAATGCCATTTGGACCAAAGGGAGAAAAAGTAGAAAGGGAGAGAGTCTGATCAATATGGAAGGATGATCTGAGGATGAATTAACGGGTCTTACTTGTGATTAGAATCAGAAATTCTGAGTCCAAACAAAGGAAAGTTAAAGGCTGAGCTTGGACGTTTCCTTCTATGTGAAAAATTGAATGAGCTGATATTACAAAGGGGAAAGATTAAAGAGGCAATCAGACCAAAAACTGTGGTAGAAGATGTCTAGATAAGAGAAAAGAGACTAGGGGTTCTTGAAGTTGAAAAATGAAAATTTGTTGTGCATGAAGGAGAATGAATTATTCATGCTATTGCTTGGCCTAAATAAGATATTTGAAGTAAGTACAAGGCTGATTTCTGGAGGTGTGCCTTGGATGCTATATCAAAAGCAGAAATAAACAAAGCATAGTTTTTGCATACATCCACGCAAATATTGAATGCCAGCAGCCAAAGGTCGGTGATGTGTTTCTTATAAATGATGCTTTTTGCCACGGAATGAAAACTACAATTAAGTTGATGTGTGCAGATTTGGACAGTTGGCCATTTCATATCACTCTTAATGCTGCCTATTCTGCATAAATAAAGCTGAAGAAAAGACCTTTAAAAATCTGCCAGTCATTAAAAAACCTACTTACCATGGTGAGGGATATATTACCAAACCCCACACTAGTCCTACCTCAAACAGCTCCAATCAAGTACAAGATGAAGTCTTATAAGATTTGACTAAAAAAATAAATTCTGCCATTTTAGATATCTGCATTCCTGTCCTGTTGGAAAGACACTGCACATATGTGTTTTGTAGGAGGGAAATAAAAAAACAGATTGGATGTCAAAATCTATTTTGAAACAGCTCATTATCTGGGTGTCCTAATTTTTCACCCATATTATAAATCTGGACAGTAGATAATTCTAAAATGACAAACAGCTTCAGCTGGATGTAGCTGGGTGGGTGTAGTTTTATGGTACTTACAGAGTGGGACGAGCAGGAGTGTTGCAAGCAGCACAACAAGGCTAGTGCGGTGGGAGTGGGCAGAGCTGCAGTATCTCTTGGTCTTTGTACAGATGCACACCTGAACTTTAACCTCTGTGCTGTTGGACAAAGGTGGCACCCCTGAGTCAGTGATGAGCAGTGGGAGCTGGTAGTTGGCTTTCTTCAAACTTTGCAGAAGCATGATTTGGGAGTGTGTGGCTGCAAAAAACACAAAAAAGGAAAATAAGTTCTGCAGATGGCAACTGTCTGTTTTGCTTGTCTTGTTCATTTGCAACGCATTATTACAGTATCTTTTCTACAAAACAGGACAGTGTGTGTGTGTTAGCCTGATGTTCCTACCATTTTAGACTTTACTTAACACTCAAGTGACAAAAATTGGTGCCACTTTAGTTGCATGGGATGGTTACATTCTGTTGCATCATACTTTAAGTGAGTTTATGGTTTTGGCAGAAAGCAGTGAAGCCAGTTTACTTCAAGCTGTAATGAGACAAAATATACAAAGCTGCACAGTGTAGAGTGGAGGACATTTTCAGGATTTTATTAAATCAGGATAAATATGTCATTTGGTATTCAAAGAAAAAAAAGTCTGCATTAGCAGAATATATTAGATTTAATCAAAACCATGAACTAAGCATAACAAAACAACTGAACTGTGAAAGCAGAGAGCTGCAGATGTCCTTTGGTGAAATAAAACATCTCAAAATTTTAAACAAGAACAAGAGTAATTTTAGCGGTCTAAACTGTCTATCAATCCCAAATAAACAGTAGCTGGTCTAGGCTTTTTGGCATGAGTGTAACAGCTCTGATGAACAGCATGTTAGTTTTTTTTTATGATTTGGAGGATGATGAAATATTAAAGAACACCTACAAACATTGTTGGACTATTTTGTTGGAAACGGTCAGAGCCACTGCACAGAGATGGAGATTTTGTTTTACTTTTTATCTACGTTTTAAAAAGTTGAAAAAACATCATCAAAGTAAAGCTATGATTCCTTTACTTTAGTATCTGGTACTAAAGCAAAGGGATGCTTATTTCTTCAATAAGTAGCAGATCCTTAAAATCCTGGAAGCTGTGCAGTGGGGTCCCATGGTTTAAAGGTTTGTCCTGAACATCCCACTGATTGTAGAATTTACTGAGATCAGTTATTGGTCTCTCAGGACGAGCATTAACCTGATTGGTAATCTGACCTACAGCAGTTTCTGTTAGCTTTCATTTCCTGTAGGCATCAGTGAGGCCTTGTTGACCCTGTTGCTGATAGACCGGAAAATTCACTTAAGAGTTTAGTGGGTTTGAAAAATTTTCTGTGCTTGTTGGTGAGAATAGAAAAAGAAAGGTTTTTATTTTGAGCTTAAATGATTCTAAAGGTCATGTTTTATCTCTGCATCCGGCATGGTACAATTCGTTTTGTTCCCTTCTGCACCAACATAATTGCTACACTAATTTAAGTATAAAAAAAAGAGCTGATTTAATTTATCAGCCTCCTGGTTTCTGGAGTATTTTGGGAGACAGAAAATGATATTTGTTGGTTTAGATGCTTTCTTTATACTGCTGCATCAAATAAGAGAAACCAAACAGTAGCTTCAGAGATCAGAACTGTTTTAAAGTAAATTAGCACAGATTACCAATTCAGGAGGAAACAGAGGTTAAGCGCCTCACCCAATCACATATAAACAAGTTAGGTAGGAAGCTTGAATCCAACCGGTATCTTTTTGAAGGGTTGTCTGGGCACCATATCTGTCTGCCAGCAGTTTTATCACATACTAAGCAATATTAAAAGTAAATGTAAATAAAAGTAAATGCAGTAAATGTTCAAGCACATTGGAGTAATTTGTTTTATGCACATGTAAAACAAAAGAATTGAAGTACATTTAGTTCAGGTCAAAATAAGAATGGGTCATTAGTTGAGCCAGTATCTGGCTCAAAATGCACATAAAATACTCAATAAGTGTATTTATTATATATAAATACACTTATTGAAAAAAAATGAACATCCTTAGAGAAGATCGTGAAAAATGTAAAAATAATAGAATATATGTACATGAATGTGGCATGTAGTTTTTACAGATAGTCCAACTTTCACTGGAACACAAGCCAGTGAAATGGACCCATGGTTTATTTTATATTCAGCAGGGATGTTTAGTGTCTGCTTGCTGTGGGATGATTACCATCACTGTTTTGGTAAGAAACTGTTTGTGAGTCTACTGGTTTTTAATGAAATTCTCTTTATTCAATGTCTCTGCTCCACCTCTGGACGTGTCCATGCTCACCTGTGCTGTGAGACTCCCATTTCACAAAGCCACAATGAGAAGCAGGATGCTTTCAGTAGTTTCCGAGCAGTTGAGTAAAGATTCAAATTAGTTTTTCAGCTTTCTGAGAGAGAGGAGCCGTTGTTGGGCCTTCTTTACCAGGAAAGGGGTATTCAAAGAGGAAGAGAAGATATGAGTACACAGAATTGTTTTGCTGTCCACATTGTCCACCACCTCCAAATGTTTGTTCAATCCTCCCGAACTTCCTTTGTTCTATTATTACCTCCTTAGTCTCGCTGGTGTTCAGTCTAACACCAACAGGTAAGTGCACTATTTGATAAAGAGATCCACTTTTTCAGATAATGGACATCTTCTCTGTTGTGTTGTTGTTTTTTTTAATCATTGATAGATATGAGATCCAACATTGTAGTGTTATCTGGAAACTTTACAGCTATGTTTATAGGGTGGATAGCAGAGCAGGGCCAAAACAATAACCCTGTGGTATTTCAGTGCTGATGATCAGCAGGGCAGATGTGTGTAACCCTTCTGATCATCCAATGGGAGCAAAGAGTTGCTGAGAGAGGCAGGTTGTGGAGCTTCAGGCTCATTTTGTCAGGAAGGATGCTGTTCAAGGCAGAGCTAAATTATATCAATAACATCCTAAAATTTCAGGATTCTGCAGATGAGCCCTGTGAAAAGCTTTATGGTTTTAATTTTATGTATTGACCATATTCTTTGTCCCTGTTGGATGGAACATATTTGTATATTTTTGGCCTTATCATTCTTAGTTGCACATTTTGTTTCATCTGGAAATTCTGTTTTTCAATAAATGAGCAAAAGTTGTGTCTCTTGTTGTGATTTTTTCCCATTGCCGCTGAAACAAGTAAAAAACAATAGAGGATTATTTTAATAACTGCAAACCAACACATTATGCAAGCTTGGTTCATCTCATGCCCATGAGCTACACTGATGACAATGGAAAGAAAACTCATCCTATCACATGCAACAAAATAATTTTTTTTAAAAGACTGATTTTAATAGCATTTACTTTATGTTTCTCAGCAAAGTCAAAAACAGAGACATTGCAGAGGCGCATAACAACCGGATCCCACTGATCTACACAAAACGGATGCAGAGCCTGCTGAGATGAGCACAGAGGAGTCCATATCACTAAAACCAGGCTCTTTCTCAGCTGGCCCTATCCGTCTCCTCTAGCACTGTAGACTGTCTGTAGCTCTCTCTCCTCTGTCAGTCACAGCAAATACCTCTGAGCAGGTTTTAGCTGGGCTCTGTCACTCAAACACACACAGACACTGCTTTCACTCATGCCACTCTGATTTAATTTCTTTCATTTCTACTCCCCTCAATGCGTCATTTTTCTTGTCACCTTCTTCATGCAATTTGTATGAACATTTGTACTTAAGCTGGCTCTGCTTTGTAATCTGTAAGGACTCTTAAAAAATGAAATGTGGTCTGATGAGCTGAAGCATGAATGTTATTTGCAACACTTGCATCTTCTGTGCTAATTTGTGTTTAGCTTTGCTCTCCCTGAGGGGATTTGTTGGACACCTCTGTTTTACGGGGCTCTTGCTGAGAAGAACAGTAGTGAAGTAGAAAAGAAAGACAAATTAAAAGTAACCAGTGGGTTATAAATTTAAAAACAGATATTCAATAGAGTAAAAAATATTCTGTCATGTTCGCTGCCCTGACAGCTGACCTAATTGCTCACTTCACTCAACTGCTTAACCCATCCCGGTTACTAATTATAATTCCTCCATCTGCTCCTGCTGCTTTATATACGGCTCAGCCCAGCTATCGGGGCTAGATCATTGACTATGTTTATTTGTTCACTTGAGTTGGAGATCATGGCGGATTTCCACAGTTCATGTGCTTTTTCTGTGCTTAGAGAGGATTGTTAGTCTTGTCTTGGTGTTTTCCGAACATGTCCTGGCTCTTGTCTGCTGAGCGCACCGTGTTCCTGTTTTTGGTTCAGTGGAAGAAGCTAGTTTAAAGTTCCATAGTTTTCCAAATACCTTGTCTTGTTTCTGCCTCTCAAGTACAGTGGTGGGAGCTTCATGGTGTTTTTGCTTGGTTTTACTTCATGATATACTGTTGCACTTACAAAATAGAGCACTGTGGAAAACATCATCAGAAGGGAGATGAATTAAGATTTCAGAAGAAACAGGATCAAGTTGAAACCTATAGACTTAGACCTAGAATCAACTTTATTTATTTACTTGGGATTACTCCTCCAGGGATATTATGGTTCCAGTAGCTTATGTAGAGTACAAAGTGTTAACGCAAAAAGCCATTAAAGATAAAACTACAACAGACAATATTACAAAACTGTATATTGTACCAAAAAAGCATAAAAAAAAACTATTAACATAATGGAAGAAGAAGAGGAGGAGTTGGAGGACTATGAATACCTTGCTGTTCACCTGGACGATCAAACTAGATTGGAGACGCAACTTTGAAGCCATGTATAAAAAGGGACAGAGCAGACTGTACTTCATGGGGAAGCTTAGGGCCTTCTGTATTTGCAGCAAAATGAGACATATCTTTATTAAACCAGGTACTGGTTTAATTCTGCTTTGCAGAGTGGGATCTCTTC